TTTTTTGGTTAAGGCTAACAAAATGTGAAGATAACTCATATCCCTATTTTCCCACTTCATCTTTCTGACACCAGCCACCTGTGTGGCACTTTCTCTGACCCTAATCATCCAGAATTGGGTCGCCACAAGTTGGGACTCTGTCCTTCCAGCCCCTGTCAAATAGGCAAAGGCCAGCCTCTCTGCTGGTTCTCACTGCCCCCTGTGGGTTCGGTAGTTGGCTAGAATGACTCACAGAACTCACGGAAACTATTACCTATACTTAAGTATAATCAGAAAGGATGCAAGCATAGAGACGCATCAGACACGGTCTGGGAGAGGTCCTGGCATGGGGCCTCCATTGTCCCCAGGGACATGTGCTCCTTTTCCCGTGCATAGGTGTTCTCACCAATCCAGGATGCACCAAAGCGAGAGCTCCAAGGTCCTGGGTTCCCTAGTCATTGAGACGTCAATGAATAAGTATGACTTGGGCCTTAATGCATATTTACGATTGATCTAGTCAGTGAATATGCGTGACTATGTCGGGCCCCCCTCCCCTCCTGAAATTAGTTCTCCAGGTGTGGAGCCTATGTAGCCTTTACTTGCCCAGCTGTTTTGGAAAACAAAGAGCACCTTAACTGCTCAGACTATTTTCAGAAACTAGACTCAGAGGGCCAAACCAAGATCTTTGTCCCACAGATGTTTAGCAGTATGCCTGGCATCTACCTACTAGATGCCAGTAACAAGCCCACCCTTAAGTTGTAACAACCAAAAAGGTCTCCAGATGTTGCTAAATGTCCCCTGGGGTAAAATTTACCCTACTTGAAGAGAACTGTTCTATAGTGGCATGTCTCCCTCCTTCAATGAGGGTCTCTGCTCATAGATCACCTTATCAGAGAAGACCAATCCATATAAATTGTTATTCCCCCCACTCCCACTCGTCACCCTTTTTCTATAACCTGCTTAATTTTTCTTCTCAGCACCGGACATGTATTCATTTATTTTGTTTATTGCCTCATCCCCCAATTGAATGTTTTCGTTCCATGAGGGTAGCGTTTCTTTTTTTCTGTAAACTATTTTGTTCCCACCTCTGTCCCCACTGCTTTAAACAGTACTGACCTAGAGTAAAAGCCCAAGGAATTCTTACGTGAATGGATGAATCGATTGAGAGACTCTGTCTAGGAGCCCTTGCAGCCCAACAGTTAAGCGCTTATCTGCTAACCAAAATGTTGACAGTTCACACCCACCCAGTGGCCAAAGAAGTAAGACCTGGCGATCTGCTCCCATAAAGATTACAGCCTAGAAAACCCCATGGGACAGTTCTACTCTGTCACATGGGGTTGCTATGAATCAAAAATCAACCTGATGGCATACAACAACATGTCTATCCCCATTGCCATCAAGTTGATTACCACTCACAGCGACCCCATGTGACAGAGTAGAACTGCCCTATAGGGTTTCAAAGGCTTGTAATGTTTACAGGAGCAGACTGCCACATCTCTCTCCTTGAGAGCAGCTGTTGGGTTTGAAACGCCGACATTTTGGTTAGCAGCCGAGTGCTTAACCACTGTGCCTCCAGGCCTCCTTAACATGTCTATAGAGACCAATAAAACATCTTCAGCAGAAGCTCCTAAAATGATCTCCCATCACCTTGAACTTCTCTCATACTTCTTCCCCTTTTAAATGGAAAGGTCTTCTTTTTCCTTAATAACAATGCTTTTACATGTGCTGCATATCCACTTGCTTCCCAGCCCTGCCTGCTTGCTGATATTTGGCCTTGAAGAAGTTTCCCCATCCACTAAAACATATGTGGTGTCTATATGTGACTCTTAGCTATTTTCCAAGAAACCCTGGTGGTGCACTGGTTAAGCACTCCGCTGCTAACCAAAGGTCAGTGGTTCGAACCCACCAGCCGCTCCATGGAAGAAAGATGTGGCAGTCAGCTTCTGTAAAGATTACAGCCTTGGAAACGCCTATGGGGCAGTTCTCTGTCCTGTAGGGTCACTATGAGTTGGAATCAATTCAACAGCAACAGGTACCTCCAGCAGTCATACCTGGTAAAGTAGTTGTTGTTAGGTGCCATCAAGTCGGTTCCGACTCGTAGTGACCCTGTGTACAACAGAACATAACACTGCCTGGTCCTGCGCCATCCTCACAATCATTGCTATGTTTGAGCCCATTGTTGCAGCCACTGTGTCAATCCATCTTGTTGAGGCTCTTCTTTTTTGCTGACTCTCTACCAAGCATGATGTCTTTCTCCAGGGATTGGTCCTACCTGATAACATGTCCAAAGTACATGAGATGAAGTCTCACCATCCTCACTTCTAAGGAACATTCTGGCTGTACTTCTTCCAGGACAGATTTGTTTGTTCTTCTGGTATTCTTCGCCAGCACCATAATTCAAATACATCAATTTATCAATCTCCCTTATTTGTTGTCCGGCTTTTTCATGGGTATGAGGTGATTGAAAATATAATGGCTTGGGTCAGGTGCACCTTAGTCCTCAAAGTGACATCTTCGCTTTTGAACACTTTAAAGAGGTTTTTTGCTGCAGATCTGCCCAAAGCAATACATTGTTTGATTTCTTCTGCTGTTTCCATGGGCGTTGATTATGGATCCAAGTAAAATGAAATCCTTGACAACTTCAGTATTTTCTCCATTTATCATGTTGCTTATTGGTCCAGTTGTGAGGATTTTTGTTTTCTTTAGGTTGAGGTGCAATCCATACTGAAGGCTGTAGTCTTTGATCTTCATTGGTAACTGCTTTCAAGTCTTCACTTTCAGCAAACGAGGTTGTGCCATCTGCATATCACAGGTTGTTAATAAGTCTTCCTCCAATCCTGATGCTGTATTCTTCTTATAGTCTAGCTTCTCAGATTATTCGCTCAGCGTACAGATTGAATAAGTATGGTGAAAGGATACAACCCTGGTGCACACCTTTTCTGACTTTAAACCATACAGTATCACCTTGTTCTGTTCAAATGACCACCTCTTGGTCTGTGTACAGGTTCCTCATGAGCACAATTAAGTGTTCTGGAATTCCCATTCTTTGCAGTGTTATTCATGAATAATTTGTTATGATCCACACAGTCGAATGCCTTTGCATAGTCAGTAAAACAGGTAATCATCTTTCTGGTATTCTCTGCTTTCAGCCAAGATCTTATCTGACATCAGCAATGATAATTCCTTGTTCCACATCCTCTTCTGAATCCCACTTGAATTTCTGGCAGCTCCCTGTCAATGTACTGCTGCCACCGTTTTTTAATTATCTTCAGCAAAAATTTACTTGCATGTGATGTTAATGATATCGTTTGATAGTTTCTGCATTCTGTTGGATCACCTTTCTTTGGAATGGGCACAAATATGGATCTCTTCCAGTTGGTTGCCCATGTAGCTGTCTTCCAAATTTCTTGGCATAGACAAGTGAGCGCCTCTAGCACTGCATCCGTTTGTTGAAACATCTCAGCTGATATTCCATCAATTCCTGGAGCCTTGTTTCTCGCCAGTGCTTTTTTTGTCTGTTCTACTTGCCCAAAATTCTAATTGCTTAGCCACCTCTGAGAGCTTATAGATGTTATTTTGAGACTAAACTTTCCATTTTTACTATAGACATTCCCTTTCTGTGGAAAAGGGAAAAACAAACACATACTTGCTTTTTTTGTTCTCTTCCAGGACTGGAGTCTAGGCCTGATACCAAGGTGTCACCTCTAAGGCAGAACGTTTATGAAGTAGAATCACTCCAGTGGGAGCTCATGGAAAGCCTTACAAGCTATAAGCTGGAGTGTTTCCAAGATGACTGGGAACACAGAGAGCGATTTGACAGACAACAGGGAAATGCAGACGGACATTTCAGTCAAATGATAATCAGTCATGAAGAAATGCCCTCTTTTGGCCACCAGACATCTGTGACATTTTATCAGAAAATCCATGCTGGAGAAAAACCCTATGGATATAATGAATGTAGAAAAGAATTATGGCAAGAGGAATTCCTTATTAATCATCAAGGAATTCATACTAATGAGAAACCTTATAAATGTAAGGAATGTGGGAAGGCCTTTAAGTATGGTTCACGACTAATTCAACATGAGAATATTCATTCTGGCAAGAAACCCTATGAATGTAAGGAATGTGGAAAGGCCTTCAATTCTGGTTCAAATTTCACACAGCATCAGAGAGTTCATACTGGCGAGAAACCTTACAAATGTAAGGATTGTGCAAAGGCCTTTAGTCGAAGCTCACAACTGATTGAACATCAGCGGATTCATACGGGTGAGAAACCCTATCAATGTAAGGAATGTGGAAAGGCCTTCAATCGGATCTCACATCTTAAAGTACATTACAGAATTCATACTGGTGAAAAACCCTATGCATGCAAGGAATGTGGGAAAACCTTTAGTCATCGGTCTCAGTTGATTCAACATCAGACTATTCACACTGGCAAGAAACTCTATGAATGTAAGGAATGTGGGAAAGCCTTTAATCAGGGTTCAACTCTTATTCGACATCAGAGAATTCATACCGGTGAGAAACCCTATGAATGTAAGGTATGCGGGAAGGCGTTTAGGGTCAGCTCACAACTTAAGCAACATCAGAGGATTCACACTGGGGAGAAACCCTACCTATGTAAGGTATGTGGTAGGGCCTTCAAACGGGTGTCACATCTTAGTGTACATTATAGGATTCATACAGGTGAGAAACCATATGAATGTAAGGAATGTGGGAAGGCCTTTACTCACTGCTCACAACTGATACATCATCAGGCAATTCATACTGAGGAAAAGCCCTATGAATATAAGGAATGTGGGAGGACCTTAAGTCATGATTCAACTACTGTTCAACATCAGAGAATGTGTAATGGAGAAACACATGTGAATATAATAAATATAGAAAAGCCTTCCATCAGCACTTATCCCTTATTAATTATCAGAGAACTTATGTTAGCAAGCAACCATATAAATGGAAGTAATGGGAAAAGCTCATTAGCTTAGGCTAATTGTAATTTACTCCTGCAACTTGGAGAAAGTCTTGAAGAGTGTAATGCAAGTGGAAATGCCTTCATTCACAGGTTTCCTTTATCCTGAGTCAGAAAACACATATTTAAAAAAAAAAAAAATTACAGATGTAAATTTAGCATGATTGTCAAAGAAGCAGGGAAAGGTTGGAAAAATTTTTGTCTGTAACAAATTCCAGAATCACCTTTTCTAACCACAGTGTAATAATTTTAAGAATAGTCAAAAGTGTTAATTTTCTTGGAAATTAAAAAAAAACAGCCAAATTACTCTTGGGAGAAGAGGAAATTTGAAAAAAAAAAACAAAAAACACCTGTTGCTGTCGAGTTGATTCCAACTCATAGCGACCTTACTGGACAGAGTAGAACTACTGCATGAGGTTTCCAAGGAGCAGCTGGTGGATTTGAACTGCCGACCTTTTAGTCAGCAGCCAGGCTCTTAACCACTGTGCCACCAGGGCTCCAAGCAAGGAAATAAATCAAGCAATTACCATGTGTACTTATGGAAAGTATGACAGTGACAGTTTCACATACCAAGAGGTGTGGGGTGCAGCCAAAGCTATACTCAGAAGAATTTGTATAGCCTTTAAATATATATATTTACATGAAAACCTGAAAGAGTATACTAAATACACTAAACATACTATTCAAGAAGCCAGGAGATAGAATACCAAGCACACCCACAGAATGAAAGAACAAATTAATAGAAAATAAAAACAATGACAAAGTAGAAAGTGGTCATCTTACAATAACTTCCATTTTTATTTCTTCCTGTCCAGGAGTAATCCAAATTTAGGAAAGTGTTTCTTAATTTCCAAGGTTATCTTTTTATTTCTAATGTCACAGACAAATGTTGGTTGCCTATCCAACAGCCATACCCAACTTCCCGATTGGCAGCATCTGTGTCTTGCCTTAGACTCTGAAGATGTCTGCTGCTTATTTTCCAGCCTCTTATGCAGCTCAGGGTGGCCATACATCCCAGTGTTGGTCAGTGGGATCTGCTGGGGACTTCTGGGAGACATTTTCCTTGTTTATAAGAGACAGCTGTATTGGGAAGGCTCCCTCTGCTCTCACTTTCTGCTTTTAAACATTTTCCTGTGAGAACATCATGCTTGGAACTGCTGCAACCATCTTAGAATCAAGAGGGGGAAAACAGAGGACCTTAGAGAAACTGACCCAGAGTTCTGACAACACTAAGTTATTAGGTCAATTCTGGAACTGCCTCTTCTTTGATGCCTTGTTGAGAAAAATAAACCTTACTGCTGAATTACTTTTAGTTGGGTATTTTGTAAAACTGCAGCCAAAAGCATCCTAAATGATTGAACGTCAAAATTTATTTTAATATGATTGGTAAATGTGGGCTAAAAATATCTACTTTTTTGAATTTGGCATTTTCTTTGTGGCTAAGTACAGGATTGATGTTTTTGGGTGTTCCATGAACATTAAAAAAGAATATAGTCTACTTTTTTAGAATACAAATTTCTAAATTATTAAGCTTGTGGATTATCATGAAATTCCTCATGTTCTTGTATAATTTTGTATACTGAATCATAATTTCTTAAAGTTAAATTTTTTTTTAACCAGGATCTTGAATTTCCAGAGATTTCTGCTTGATAATTTATATTGTTTGACCTATAAAGACATATGCCTTAACCCTTCTTTATGAATTATACCTTTTGTTATTATGTAATATCTCTCTTTGTCTAGTGCAGGGTCAACAAACCAATCTGTCCTGCTGCCTGTTTTATAAATAGCTTTATTGGAACATAGCGATGCTTATTCTTTTACATATTGTCTGTGACTGCTTCTGCACTACACCAAGAGTTGAGTAGTTGCAACAGAGACTGTATAGCCCACAAAGCCTAAAATATTTACTGTCTGGCCCCTTCACAGAAAAAGTTTGCCAACCTCTGGCCTAGGTTAATCCTTTTGGTATTTATTTCCACATTGTGTAATACTAATAGCAGTGACTTCAGCTTTCTGTTGCCTAGTTTGGTTTTGTCCATCCATTTATTTTCAACCTCGGTCACGTTTAGTTGTTTCTTATTTTAAAAAAAGGTCATTTTCTTAAAATTCAGAATATGAATCTGTCTTTTTATAGAGAAATTCATATTTCATTTAGTGTAATAATTCAATTTTATTCCTTCCATTTTACATTGTGCGTACTATTTTTGTTACCTTGGTCTTCCCCTTTTCTCATGTTGGCTGATCATTCCCCTTTCTCTTGCTAAATTGGAACTTCACTGTGCTTAGGGTAGTAGTTATCTCCCCATTCTTAATAATCATTATGTGGGCAGAATGAGATAACTGCTGTACTTCCTCCTCACCTGCCATGAATCTTACATGCCATTCTCTTCCAAGCAGAAACCATCCTTGCTTGTTCTTTCCCTCCCTTTACAACCCATTATTTAACAATTCTTCCATTTCACTAACCTAATGAAAATCATTAGTCTAAAGGAATTTGCTTTGCTCCTATTTCAAGGTGCCTTGATGCTTACATTACTTACTACCAGACCCACTCAGGATTTCCATTTAATTTAAATATACTCTGAGAGAGAGAGTTGTGTATGTGTATTACATTCATTGCTGGCCAGTGTTACTTTTCATTGTTTTCCCTGTCTGAAGGTGACGGTTTTTTATTTCAAATTCTATTTGGCTAGAGTATTTTCTTGGGTGCTTGTATTTATCTCAATAAGGGTATATAGTGGTATACTCTGAATCCTTATATTACCAAAATTTCTTTCACCTTCACAAATAAATTGTATCTTAGGTTGTTAGAAGATTCTTGAATGTAGTTTTTTCTCTGTTATCTGTAGCTGCCACTTCAAAAAATTTTGGCTTCTGATATTCTAGAAGAGGAGCCCAATGCTATTCTGATTCTCTTAGCTTATGTAAATGTATTAGTTTTCTATTGCTAATATAACAAATTACCACAAACAGTGGCTTAAAACACCACCACTTTATTATCTGGAGGTCAGAAGTCTGAAATAGGTCTCACTGGGTTAAAATTAAAATGTCAGCAGGGCTGTGTTCCTTTTGGAGACTCTAAAAGACAACCTGTTCTCATTTTCCAGCTTCTGGAGGCTGCTTACATTCTTTGGCTTGTGGCCCCCTTCCATCTTCAAAGCTGGCAATGGCTAGTCGAGTCTTTCTCGTATCATATCACTCTGATGCTGACTCTTCTGCCTCCCTCTTTCACCTTTAAGGACCCTTGTGATTATACTGGGTTCACCTGGATAATCCAAGATAATCTATTTTAAGTTCATCTTAATTACCCCTTGCCATGTAACTTAACATATTCACAGGTTCCTGGGATTAGGACGTGGACATCTTTGGAGGGCCATTATTCTGCCTTCCATAGGAAGTAACTGTTACGGCCCAGGTACTTGGAATTTTTTTATCCTTGGAATTCAGGAATTTAAGCAGGATATGCTTAGAAAGGCTTATGTCTTCTCAGCCCAAGAAACTTTTTTCTATTTTTATTTTTTCTGTTTAATCAGTTCTTTTCTATTCCATTCTTTGTTTAAAAACTTTAAATTTTTGATTAAGAAATATATATATATATACTCATGATTCAAAAACTTGAAGACATAAGAAAGGTATGCAGTAAAAGTCTTCCTACCTTTGCCCCCTTCTGCCCATTATATGAACAGAACTCTATCTCCTAGGGCTTTGGTTCTCCAAGCGTGAGAGATTCAACTTCTCTATGCCTAACCCATGTCTTCTTTTTAGTATCAGTTGTTGTTAGGTGCCGTCAAGTCAGTTCTGACTCAGTGACCCTGTGCACACTGGAATGAAACACTGCCCAGTCCTGTGCTGTGCCCAAAATCGTTGTTATGCTTGAGCCCATTGTTGCAGCCACTGTGTCAGTCCATCTCGTTGAGGGTCTTTCTCTTTTTCGCTGACCCTCTACCAAGCATGATATCCTTCTCCAGGGACTGATCCCTCCTGATAACATGTCCAAAGTATGAGATGAAGTCTAGCCATCCTTGCTTCTAAGGAGCATTCTGGTTGTACCTCTTCCAATATCAGTAATCATAATAGCTAATCTGTAGGCTTTGCTTATATTACATTATTTCATTTGATCCTCAAAACAACCCTGAAAGTCAGGTTTTATTAAGAGAAAGAATAAAACTGAGATGGAGAAAAGTGATTGCTGAAAAACACACAGCTAGCATGTGAGTGACTGACTGAGTTGGTATTTTCACTCAGATCTGTGTGACTCTTAAATCTCCCATCAGAACACAGTGCCTGCAGGAAAATGCTCTCCGTCTACTCCAGCCCCATATAAGTGGAATCAAAATGGTAAGCTTCTTGTTGTTTGCCATAAATTCCTTAGAGGAAGCAATATAAGAAATAGAAGACATTTGCTTCATGCATCACAGAAGCCATGAAGCCTGGCAGAAACAAAACTAAGGGACAGAAGCTCTAGATTCTGTGGCCTGGCTCAGGGACAAACTGCTGCCTTAGACAAGCTTTGGGACCTCTGGAGGAAGGGTGTCCTCATTCAAACAGCATGCATAGCAGGCCATGCCTATCCTAGACCAGTGCCTCAGGATGTGTAAAGCCAACTCCGCAATCCAGAGACTCCCAAGATTTTCTACAACCGTCTTCCAATCAGCAGAAGGAAATGAATGAATGACTGGGTCTAGGACAGACCCAACACAGGCCACACCACAATAAGAAATTGCTTTGAAACCCATCTTCATCTTTTAAAATCTTAGGCTAATTTTGACTTTTTTTTTTCCATAGCAAGCCTGAGCTGCTTTAAACTTTCCTCCAGCTAAATTTCTTTGTTCTTTACTTCAGAACTTCAGGGTAATCTTCAGGGTAACATGAAGTTATTTTCCTATTTATAAATGGGGAAGTAAACTCAAAATAAATTATCCTTACACAATTCCACAGGCAACCAAAGAGAAACCCAAATTCTGAGGATGACATTTATGCATACACAGACATGAGTCATCTT